GCGTCTCTGCCAAACTGTCAAAGAGTGTGCCGGACCGACTATGCCGAGGCGAGCCGGGCCGAGCAGAGCGTAATGGACTCGGCTATATTGGCTTGTCAGGCCAAAGAGAGGAGCAGCGTTGGGGCGTCAGCAAGGTGTCTACCAGGGACGGGGAAATGCGCGGCGAAATCATGTTGACACGAGCGGTATCAGAGGATATAAATCATGGTCATTCCAATAGGTCCACTTTACTTTCATTTGCACAGTGCGCAAGCACATGTTAATACTGCTTGAGCACAATAAAATTTTGGGAAAATGTATACCAGGTGGCAGTCAATAGAGTCGACCTCAGTCATGCCATTAGACTTGTAGACCGACTTTATCAAAAACTTACCCCCCGTCATTCCTTTGCGGAACTTTTGGGTTCTAGAAGTTACAAACAGCACAACGCTTGCAAAGAATAGGTTCGTATTGTAAACGGCAGCAGCTTGGAAAGAATTTTGATGCGCTAATACGAACTAGCTCTTCGCAAGCTTCCTAAACACTTCTTTGCTGTACAAACACAGGTTTAGCAAGGATTTCTGAGACTGAGTGATTTCAAACACAGATTGTCTACTAGATTTTTTGCAAGTACAAAGCTCTAAAGTTCGTGGCAACGCAGCGAAGAATATATTTTGCAAACATATTTTACAAAGCAGAGAGGAGCATTCCCGTGGGCATTCTTTGACCGGCGTTTCACACCGAGAAAAAAAGAGATCGGTTTAGAGAAAGGTAAAACGAGGAGTATAACGAGTGTAAAGAGAAAGAGAGAGAGAGAGAGAGAGAGAGAGAGGGGGGGGGGGGGGTTGCAGGCTTGGATGACGAATCACGCTCGAGGGCCGGGGCGCAGGGGCACCGCAACCTCACACTTCATGATGAGCCGGACAACAAGATTCATTAGCAGCGGCACAATGCGACAGGTATTAATTGCTGGGCGGTGCGCGGGGGGCTCCGGACACGTGTGTCTCTCTGTGTGTGTGTGTGTGTGTGTGTGAGAGAGAGAGAGAGAGAGAGAGAGAGAGAGAGAGAGAGAGAGAGAGAGAGAGAGGGAGAGGGAGAGAGGGAGAGAGGGTGAGAGAGAGAGAGAGAGAGAGGGAGAGAGAGAGAGAGAGAGAGAGAGAGAGAGAGAGAGAGAGAGAGAGAGAGAGACGCGCCCCGCGGGTGCAGCGAGGGCTCCATCATCATTATGCACTAAATCCGTGCAACACAGCAACACAGCGCGCGATGCTTTTTCAGCGGGTGGCGCTCTGCTGGTGTCGCATGCACGCCAGGGGAATCGCCCTGTCATTACCCATACACAAGGGCATGTGCGTGAGAGAGAGAGAGGGGGGGGGGAGCGCTTAGTGTGCGAGAGCGTGAGTGCGCGTACGCAGGCGGTTTTCTTCACACTGTAACTTAATATTATGAGTAGTATACGCATAGCTTACGCAGCCATAAGCACAGTGACATCAAAGTGCATGTGAAAATATAATCCAATCAAAATATTTAGTACGACGCCCGAGCAGGCGGAGTCTCTTCTGAGGGTATCGTCATCCCAAAATTAGAGGACACAAGACGAAGTGCATTGCACATATCGATTCGTAATTCAAGGATGTGAAAATTACATCTGATGGAAGGTCATAGTGTGAATTAAAGTCGTCATACGAACCACGGCGCCGCAAATGAAATACTTACTTCCACGAACAGATAAATCTAGAACTCTCTCTCTCTTTTTCTCACATCCTCTCCCTCCTTGGCTAGCAGCTCCGCAAGTGATAGCAATCGTAAATCCGCGGCTTGAACCTCGTCATCAGCAGCGCATTCCTGCAGGCAGCCCAGCCTGGAGAGAGGGAGAGAGGAGAGAGGAGAGGGAGAGAGGGGGAGAGAGAGGGAGAGAGAGGGAGAGAGAGGGAGAGAGAGAGGGAGGGAGAGCAGGTAGAGGGAGGTCGTGGGAGGACGCGGGGCCTTTATAAAGTACCCGGATGACGCGTATGGACGGGTCCCGCTACGTATGACACGGTCGCGGCCCGACCCGGCGGGTTCGGCCGAGTCACGCGGGACCCGAGAGGCCCGGCGAGGAGCGTCGCGACATTCGTCTTGGTCGGGACCATCGCGATATCTGATCGGAGTGTACTGTATTATAAAGGTCAGAGGTATGCGTGGCGTGTGCGTTCGTTCGTGCGTGCGTGCGTGCGTGCGTGCGAGCGTGCGAGTCGGTGAATGCGAGCGTGTGTGTGTGTGAATGCAAGCGCGCGTAGCCCATCCGAAAACTTCATTTAAAAATGAAGTAAAATAATATCAATATGTGTAAAAACCAATTCATCAGATCGCAGATAATTGGGGTTTCCAAAATAAAAACAACGCAGAAGCAAATTTAAATATTTGTCCTGCGACAAAAAATGTTTTACAAGCAATATTACATATGTTACTATGTTATTTTTCGGTGCCTCAGAAAATATCTAGTGTCAGGCCTTGAACGCTGCGTGCCGCTCCCTTTCTCTCGCTCGTTCGCTCATTCTTGGTGGTGTTGCGCCCAGATTTACTCTTTCGTCCCGCACGAGTGTATTTTATTTCGGGCAAAGACGCGACGTAAAAGAACGGACGGGTCGGACGGGGCGCAGACACAAAGAAGAGAGGGGGGAGGGGAGGGAAGGGGTGCAGCGCGGGGGGAGCAGGGGGTAGGGGGGTTGTTCGAAATGGCCGTGAAAGGTTCGTGTCAAGTGGCAGAATCCATGAGCGGCCAGCCGTGGTGCAAAAGGGGAGCGAAAAGAGGGACGGAGAAGTGAAAGGGGGGAGTAGGGTGGGATTGGAGAAGGGCGGGGGAAGCTGAGCCTCGCAGCGAGAGCTGCGGGGAGGAGGGAGAGAGAGGGGGGGGGGGACAAAAGCCCATCACGTAGATACTTTACAAAACGACAACAACACTGACGAGGACAGACAGAGGACGCCTGCCTCCCTTGCGCTCCCCAGTCGAAATACTCAGATCCGATTGTGTCATACGATTGAGCGCGGTGGGGCCGCTCGGTGGGCCGCATGCCTGATCTGGATCGGAGCAGGAGCTTCAATGGCGCGAAGGTCAGTGCCGCGTGCCGCTAGGACCACCGGTTTCTCCTCAATGCGTTTGTAAGAGAGGCAATGCAATTGGACAAAAGAAGAAAAGCCCACTTCACACACAGTATGCAATGTTTAAACGTTTTGAAACTGTGCAAAGCACACTTGCTCTGGTAACACAAGTGATACGACAGTACCACACTTCATTGTTTGAGAAGGGCTCCACACATTTCGAGGAAGTTTTTTTTTTTTTGAAAATTAGGGTATTTTTTT